TACATTGTGTGAGACACAGTGTCAATTCTAACTTTTTTTTTTTTTTTTTTTTTTTTAAAGAATTCATCATTCTTCCAACTAAGAAAGTTTCACTGGGCATGGTGGTGCACTCCTTTAATCCAGCACTCAGGGAGGCAGAGGCAGAGGCAGGAGGATCACTGTGAGTTCCAGACCAGTCTGGACTACAATTCGAGTCCAGGACAACCAAGGCTACATAGAAAAACCCTGTCTCCAAAACAAAACAAAGCAGTTTCAGTTGATAGAATTACTGCTGAAGAGTTGAGAAAAGACTTAATGACTTCAATTCTTGGCTTGGAGGAAAAACAAAAAAACAAGATACAGGCTTAACTCATAACCCGTTAGGTTTAGGTATGCTTTCAGGATATGTTAAAAGACAATTACCAAAACAACTTTTAGCCAATTTTCAGTTAACTTCAGCAATACTGTCGGCATAGTTCTTAACATGGAGGATTTTTAGCTTTTGGAGTCACCTTGTGCACTATGCACGCACAGGTGGCCAGGAGACGTGGGGTGTGCCGCCTTCACTCCGCCTTACCGCCAAACACCATCTCTTCAGCCAACCTGGAGCCAGGCTAGCTCCCGCAAGCCCAGTGGGCACATGGGATCACACCTGGCTTTTTACATTGGTGCTGCAGAGTCAGTCTCTCAGTGTCTCATGCTTACTCAGCAAGAGCTCGTATGCACTGGGCCATTTTCTCAACAGGTATCAAGACTTAATGAAAAAGCTACCTAACTTTGGGATAAAAAGCAACACACATATACACACACACGTTTGGTGCTGGGATTACAGGTGTATGCCACTGTGCCCAGCTTCAACATTCTTAATAATGTTGTAAATTCCTAAGAACCACCAAATGAAATAAAGATTAAATGTATAAAACACCTACTGCTGAGCCAGGAAAGGTTTTTATAAGTTACAAAAAAAAAAAAAAAAAAAAAAAAAAAAAAAAAAAAAAAAAAAAAGCTTTGTCTTCAAGCACATCTGCACTCCAGAAGATGGTATCAGATCCTCTTATAGACTAGGAATTGGATTTAGGATTCTGGAAGGGCAGCCAGTGTTCTGAATCACTGAGCCATCTCTTCAGCCTCTAAGACTTTCAAGATAACATTTAACTGTAGACAACATTTAGGCATGTGCAAACACTGAATGTTCAAGAATGTAACTCGAGAGTTTTGGAAGGCTTTGGCCAAAGGATGGATGCCAGATTGGGCTCTAAACAAAATGAACTTTAAAATGAACTTTTTTTTTTTTTAAAGGCAGTGTCACCAAATAATCCTGGCTGATCTTGAACCAAAAAAGAAAGAAAGGAAGGAAAAGGAAAAAAAAAAAAAGACCTTCCTCTGCTTCCTAAGTTTTGGGATTAAAGGAATATACTGTAATTCCCAAGCAAATACATTTAAAAAATTTAAGTCTAGGGGTGTTTTTGTCTGCATGTCTGTCTGCACCACTTGTATGCCTGGCACTCTCAAGAGGCCAGAAGAGGATACTGGATCCCCCGGGACTAGAAGTAGACAGTTGAGCTGCCCCATGTGGGTGCTGGGAACCAAACTAAGCTATACTATTAAGCCGCTAAGCCCCAAACCCAGTATTTTAAGCTCTTCTGTTAGCATTATGAAACAGGTCAGGAAACACAAAATAACCCTCAAATAAATTGTTCAAGCCCACAGGACTAAGTTCAGAATCTAAACTTGATAGGCAAGGCTTGAAAGACTAAACAGAACATAATTGCACCCTGGTATTTACTAGGGTAAATGAGGGCACAGACAACTTAATTCACAGCAGGCAGCCTATCTGAAGCATAAAGGATGTTTCAATTAACCAAGGAAACTCATTGCCTGCTAACAAAATTACCTATTATAAACTCCAGATAGAGCCACTAAAAATTGCAATGGAAGGGACTGGAGAGATGGTTCTGCTGCTAACAGTACCTGCTGCTCATGCAGAACACATAGGTCTGGGTCTCAGTTTACCCATCTAGTAACTCAAAACCTGGCTGCAGGGACTGAAACCCTCTTCTGTATTTTAAGACATCAGGTGTGCACAGTATGGGCGCCCAAGCAAAACCCAATCCTTAACAGCATAATGGTTATACAAACACCCTTTAATATTTTAAAGCTCAAATCTGCCTGTTTAGTGATCCTGTAGGATCTAAATAGCACGGATGAATGCTTACCTTCCGGTTCCCAAAACTGTCCACTGAAGCTCTATGAACAATTACCGTTGCCCTTTTAAAAATACACCAACTTACTGCTTAACAACCTGGTTTTGCTAAAGAAAATTAGAATAGACTTAAGTACATCAGGAGTTTTTGAACATCCTTTCCTGTTTGGTCGGTCTATGTGTACAGGGGAGGACCTTTTTTCCAGAGTCTTGTACACTCTAGGCAAAAAATGAAGTGTTTTTTTGGTGAAAATAAAGTTCCTTTAGACCAGGACTCACTAATCAAAGGTAAATAATCTGTGACTACCAATCAGACACAGAACCAGTGAAGTGTTATATCCTACCAAGTAATTCACTTGTGGCCACGTGTGGTTAGGCATCCTCACAGTACCTAAGCCAACACAATGGGATCTCAAGTAACGAAGGCAGCCTGGGTTTCAGAATTAGACCGTCCTAAAAGGCCAGTGTGCTAGGAACTCATAACTATCACTACCCACATCTATTTGGGGTAACCTGCAGTATGGACCCAGACTAACATCACCTACCTTTCCCCTATTTCTTTTGCTCATCGAAGTAACTGCTGTTTCAAGTCACATGTGGAACTCATTCTGTGCCCCAGCCTTCCAAATTTCCTACCTCCTAGGTTTGTAACAATTATTCCACGTGGTCCTTGTGGCAGTACACCTTTTTCTCCCTTATTTCAAGCAAACTTGATCCATCAAGGTTTGTCCCAAACTCCATTCTATTAGTCTATATTAACCCATAGAACTGCATCAAAGCAATATTGCAAAGTGATAAAACCACACACGTATTTCTAAAAATATTTTAATGAAAAAGTCATTTCTGTAACATTTCATTATGCTACAAATGGAACAGTTATATCATTACAGATCACCTTCCGCTGTCATAAAGATCAGAAAACATGTTAAGTTTTAAAACTGAATGTGGATAGGCTACCACCCCTCGCAGCACCTTGCACACCCATGTACTTGACCATGCCAACTGTTTCAAATTGTGACAGACTCTTGAAAACCAAGCCCCTTTCCCTGTAGTTCCCTACCACAACTTCTTTACCACATGCTAAAACTTAGGCATGAGTATGAATACAGCTTTTAGACCCTGTCACCTGGGACCAGTATCCTACAGGTCAAACAAGATCGTATCACCTCACCCTTGCTGCCAAGATGTTTTGCAGAAACGACAGTGGAACCACATTACGTAAAATCATTTTATTTCAGAAACTGGAATGTAAATGCCTTAAAAAAAAAAAAAAACAAAACATTTCTCCAAATCTCGAGTTACCATTGAAAGATGGCTACCATTATTAGTAACTAGTATTGTCTAAGTTCAGCCCTGACTTAAATGCAAAGCAAACCTGTGAGTACACCTGTAACTTACTAGCCAGTATTTGCAAATTTGTCCCCTGAAGATATTTTACTAGAAAGTAACCTGAATTAAGCAATTTTCAAAGCAGCCCTTTCAGGGCAGCAAAAATAGCCCTTATAGACGAACAATCAGCAACATATTTAAATAGTCCCAACTGTTCTTTGGGACTTAAAAAACAAAACAAAACAAACGTGTCAATTAGGCACCACCCTTAAATCCCAGCACTTGGGAGATAAGAGGCAGGCTAGAACTGTGAGACCCTGTGTGTTTAGGGATAGGAGACTGGACAGACAATTCCTACTTGTTCACATAATAGTGAACTTTTATGCACGTTTACTTTGAGGAAGACAATTCTGGCAATTATGAATGTAAGTTTTCCCTAGGGTGGGAACTAGCAGCTTATTAGAAGTCAAAAAACTTTTTGGAAAGCCAACATGACTTTCCATCATTGAAAGCTGACTTTACCGTACATATCAACAGAGTTGTACACACGAAGAGGCTGCATCTGGCTCATGACAAATACCCATGGCACTGCAGAATGTAACTGCCTAGACTTAAAAACTTGTTCAACTGGGTACCAAGACAAAACTCTGAACTTCACAATTCTGCACCTAAGAGGGTTAATATTTCAAACTGTGACATTGATTTTTGGGAAACCAATGGTGCCATCAGGTTTTTACTGTGAGCTACAAACCTTACCCAGCCAGAAACCTTCGTATTTAAGATGGTAGGAAAGACATTCCTCATTTGGGCAAGTAGGGTTCTCATTCACCTGCAAATCAAAAAGATTACTCTTACCTTGCTTTACAAAAACGTACTCTTTAATTAGTGAAAAAATTCAAATTCAGCCTTACCTAATGCTTATTGCCCTTCCTTGCAGGTCTAAATGCTAGACCTACTGACTGTGGCAACTATCTCATTGATGTTCCAAGGGGCGGAGCTCCTTCCTGTCACTTTCTTCGCCACTTGAGTTGCAATAAGCAGATTTAACTAGCTTTGGAAAGGTGCTCACTATCACCACAGTATCTTATGCCTCCACTTCTCTGCAGGTGAAGCTCTTGCTGCTGCCTTCTCATTCTTTATTTATGCTGACTCGTCCATACTCAAAAGGCTGCTGAAGTCCTGTCTTAGTGGGTTTCCTTTGATCCACACTGTGCTTAAAAAGCACAACTTATGTCCTTTAAAGCTGGTTAATCCACTCATGGCTCACTTACACACTGTTCACAAAAGCTACCCTAGTACAACTTATAAACAGGTCACATACAGATTTCACCTGATTATAGGTTGTAAACATCAACTTACTGGAAAATGTTTCACTATAATACTAGTTCCAGAACATAAAAAGTTGGTTAGCAATACAATTGACCTTATGACATTTAAAGGATACTGTCAAGGTTGTGCCCAACAATTTCACAAACAGAACCAAGAAATGTCAGCCTCCCCCATTTCTTCAATCTTTATTATATGAATAAAAGGACTTGAGACAATTTAGCTCAATTTTAATGTTTCCTAAGTATTTTGACCAGGTACCCAGGTTTAAGCTCTGAACATTGACAGTGTCCATTTATATAACCATACTTTTAGTTATCAAGGGTGTAACCATTTTCTAACATGAGCCTATTTTCTACACTGCTTATTCACATATGCCCATTAACAAATGGAATGTTGTCTGTTACATTTATTGGTTTGTGTTTTCTGGAAAACTGTAATATTTGTGACGACCAAAGTTCCATGCTAGCATTGCATGCATCCAAATATTAATAATGCACAGAATTAAGAGCAACAAGAGAGCATATTCAAACACTAGCACGCCCCATTTCCCTTTTTATTGCTTGTTTAGCTTATACTTTAAAAACCAAGTAAAAAATTTAATTCAATGTTTAACTACCAAAGAAAGTAACAGCAGAGCACATAGGGCTTGAATGAAATTGTTAAGCACTAGCTGGCGCAACAGTAGACATTCTTCATATATACGACCTCAGCATATAAAACTCTTCTCAACCAGGGTCTCCAAACAATTGTAACTCACACACCAACATCTTTTAGGATGAGATATATACAAAGAATAACCATGTGTTCTTTGGGGATTTAAGCACTCAAGACCATCTGAATTTGAATTCAGATCTTTGGGAAGTGGGGTGCTTAACACTAAGCAACTGTGCTACATTTTCTGCTGCTTTGTTTGGACAATGACACCTTACTATCCTTGGTTTCATCATCCAGCAAAATGAATAGTGTATAAACAGGAAAGCATGCCAGCCAGTCAAGGGTTGATACCAGTCATTTTTTTTTTTTATTCCTTTGCTCTGAAAAGTTGTGTGTGGGAACTTATCCAAGGGAAGTGACCACTATACCAACAGGCTTTGAGACCTTAGATTTGAAAGAACAAACCAGGTACCCACCAGTTTACCCAGACACAGCAAAACTTGGTGGTTCTGTATTAAAAGACTGTTAAACTGGGAGATGAAACCCACCTACCACCCTTGGTATGTAGAGGACAGTATAAACTCTTCCGGCCCCAAACACTCGGCAGCAGCTTCAATGTGACCAAGGTAAGTGTCTGCAGTGGAGATGTTCTTGACATGGCTAGCCCTCAATAAATCTAACACACTAACACCATGATTACATTTTGAAAGAAAATGCACAAAAACCAAATAGGAACTTTTGAGATCTTTTTCATTTGAAGGTAATCTTAATGCTATTAAATTCACAAATGCTATTTTTATTACCCAATCCTAATTATCTAAAACACACATGGCAAACATACAAGTATCTATTCTCTCCACATGTCAGTGCCCATTCATTATGGTTTTGGAAATGGGGAGAATAGATTTCCCCTTAAGTTGCAAGTCAGTAGGTGTTTCTTTACAGTTAACTTTAGCAAAATTCATACAAAATAGTAATTAACAATGATCTTCTTTACTGGTTAACTCACAAGGAAACACCTTCAAAACTGCATTTTGTTAAAGTTTCTGTACTAAAATGTAGAAAAACTGAACTACACAAATATTGAAAAGTTAAAAATTCCTTAATTTTTTATTCCTGGTACCACTACCACAATTTACAGGGCAATATACCTGATGTAATGAAAAGAAAAAGAAAAAGACAAAGCTACAACAGATAAAAGACCTCAGGAATGTACATCTAATTGACACTACATTGCATTAATCAATAGCTGCACTTTTTGCAAACTGTGGCTATGACAGTCCTGAACAAGAAGGGTTTCCTGTTTAAGCTGCAGTAACTTTTCTGACTATGGATCATCGTTCCTCCTGTGGCAGATTTTTACAGTTCCTCTAATGCATTTGGGACGACTGTCTCAAAGTAACCTGCAGCTTTCCTGACAACTCCTCGCTCTCTCTCCTGCTAAGAACTGTCGCCTGTTGAATAATACAGGATAAAAAAATTATTACACTCAGTGAACAATTCCATACATTCTTTTATCATCATGATTAAAAAAAATATAGAGATACCTACCTTTTCTGCTGTTTTTTTTTTTTTAAAACCTTCTGCTACCATATCCACCACTTCCACCACCAGATCCATAGCCACCTGGAAATAACACATAGTTTTAAAATACACGTAATATGTTAACCAAGATGGCTCTGAAGAATTTGATTAAAAAGACTTACCACCATAGGGACTGCCTGAGCTTCTTCCACCAAAACTGCCTCCCTTCATGGGTCCATAATTTGATTGCTGTTGTCCACTATAATTTCCAAAGTCATTATAGTTCCCACCACCACCATAGTTACCTGAAATCAAAGATTATTTTTTTTGTAGTTTTCCAAGATAATAATTATTTACTCTTCCTTTAACTATTTGAATAATCATGGAAGCAAGTACTATAATTATTTTCATGCAAGTAATAATGGCCGTCTTAGGGACTGATCTAATCAACAGGTAAAAAGGGGAACAGTGAGGGGAAGATGTCTAAAAAAGCACTATCTAAGCAGCTTATCAAATTTCAGCATATCTGAGGAACACACACTTTCTTTGATGTTGTATCCTACATACGTATTCCTCACGTGGACCATCAAACCGCCAACATTCAATGCAATTCTGTTGCAATGCAGCTTTTAAAGGAGCAATAGAAAGTATCGCAATATCAGCTGCTCACATTTACTAATTAGGCTCAACAGTTTCTCCTCTACATTATATGTAATAACTGCACTCCATGGTACAATACCAGCAAATAATAAACATATTAACACATCAAACAGTAATACCCAAAGCATTCCAAGAGCTAATACCCTATTCATTTAGTAAATCTAAAAATTCAAACAACTTGTACAAGTTTAAAAGTACCTGAAGAGTTGAAGAAAAACTTAGCAATAAAACAGATTTTAAAACTTCCCTTGTAACTTACTAACTAGTAAATGTCTATTTCATTATATAAGTAGCAAAGCTTCCTCTGCCAATTTACATAGCTACACAAATAATGCAAAAAAAAAATTTTTTTTAAACGCCCGATACGGTACAACATATCTACAATCCTACCACTCGAGTATTGGATACAGGAAGATTCAAAGCCAGAGTCTAATATAGCGTCTTAATCTCTGGAATGTAAGATCGTCCTGCACACCTACCTTTAAAAATGGTTTTCTATATGCGAAATGCATGCAGGGTCCTTTTCCCCCCACAACTTCATAATGGACATGGCCAGTAAGGTTATGCTGTACATTTTATATGGATGAGCTAGCTGTGTTTCAATATGGCTGTTCATACTTCAAACTTTTCTGGTTTATTTTTAAGCACTTCTGAGTACTACAGAGATTTTTAACTTAAAATCTGGTTTGCATTTATTCCAAATTATCTCTAACTTACCTCCACCAAAATTTCCTCCTTCATTGTAACCATCATATCCTCCTCCTCCTCCACCATATCCACCACCTTGGTTTCCATATCCTGGTCCTCCACCACCATAGCCTCCTCTACTACTGTAACCAGGGCCACCACCATAGTTGCCACCTGAAAAGAGCCACACAAAAACAAATGTTCAGGGGGCCCAAAGACTCCTGGCTTTATACTACACTGTGTCTTACAACCAATCACTGAACTGATTTCACCCCAAAATCTAGTCATAGTCTGTTTTCCTCTAGCCTCACACAAAGCAACTTTAGCTCCACTGCTACTATAATAAAGCCTACTGACCACGATGTCTAACATTTACTTCCATCCTCAGGAAGAGGCTTCTTCCTCTTCTGTGGTACTAGTCAGGAACTATATTCTAGCAATCCACTTAATGTTTTAGTACTGCAAAGTGTCATTTTGAATATGGCTGTTACAACAATCAACACCTCCATATTTATGGTAATAAGCCCTACCACCTAGCATTTGAGGCCATGTGTTATCCCTAACAATGTAGAAATTAAAAAGCCAAAAACTTGGGGCTGGAGAGATGGCCCAGTGGTTAAGAGCACTGCCTGCTCTTCCAAAGGATCCAGGTTCAATTCCCAGCACCCACATGGCAGCTCACAACTTTCTGTAATGCCAGTTCCACGGCATCTGACACCCTCATGCTAATGCACATAAAATAAAAATTAAATAAATTATTTTAAAAAAGCCAAAAACTCAACATTTTAATACTTACCATCACCTCCAAATCCATTATATCCACCATCACCACCTCCATAACTACCTCTGCTGCCACCACCTCCACCACCATAGCCTCCTGGGGAAAATTAAAGTTGGAAATTAAAATCATACCTTCAACTTACTAGGAACCTATGATGCTCTAGCACTTACAGAAGCAGCAATGCCGTACCTCTTCCACCAAAGTTCCCACCACGACCAAAGTTACCGCCACCTCCTCCAAAGTTTCCACCACGACCCATGAAGTTGCCAGATCCACCTCCACGACCTGTAACACAAGAGGAAGGGGGGAAAAGAAGTCAAAATCTTCCCAACTTCTCTAGTCCACTATTTATGTATACCTGGTCCCACTCACCTCTCTGTGATCCAGCGGACTGCATCTCTTGTTTAGAAAGGGCCTTTTTCACTTCACAATTATGCCCATTTATAGTGTGGTATTTTTGAACTAAGTTTTTAAAGTAAAAAAGCAAAGTTATTCTTTGTTTGGAAAACAACATTCAAGTCACACTCTTTGTCACTATGCAATTAACTGGAACACTGTTAACCCTGTTAAACTGGTAGTAGACTAAGCAGGGAATGGACATTCTGAAAGATTAATGGTTCTCAATCTATAGCCTATAGTTGAGTCACATGGCAGATATCCTGCATATCAGATTTACACGATCCTCTACAACAGTCAAAATTAGCTTTGAAGGAATAATGAAAATAATTTTAGGGTTGGGGGTCTCCACAATGAGAAACTGTTTCAAGGGGTCACCATTAGGAAGAGTGAGAACCACTGATATAGAGGACTTATGAAAACTAAAATCATATCCTTTAAAACTATTAGCAAGTTAGTGAATTCAGCTGAAAACAGATCGTTCCTGTGCAATAAGCTGTCACTTACCAACGATTTTATCAACTGTGTCATGATCATCAAAAGTTACAAAAGCAAATCCTCTCTTTTTTCCACTCTGCCTGTCTTCCATAACTTCTATGGTTTCAATCTTGCCATACTTTTCAAAGTAGTCTCTCAGATTATATTCTTCTGTATCTTCTTTAATACCACCAACAAAAATTTTCTTTACCGTTAAATGGGCACCAGGCTTCACAGAATCCTGCAAACAAGATAATTTTAAGTCAAAAAAACCAAACTGGCAAAATTCCAGGTATTATACAACATGTTATTAAAATACCTCTCTAGAAACGGCTCTCTTTGGTTCCACCACACGCCCATCCACCTTGTGTGGCCGGGCACACATTGCAGCATCCACCTCTTCCACACAAGAGTAGGTCACAAAACCAAAGCCCCTGGAACGTTTTGTTTGGGGATCTCTCATTACC